CCGGCGATCCTTCCGCCTCAGCCTTCCAAGTAGCCGGAACTACAGGCGCGCCCTACCACACCCAGCTAGTTTTTGATTTATTGTAGAGACGAGGTCTCGCCAAGTTGCCCGGGCGAGACTTGAACCCGCGGACTCAGGCAATCCTCTTGCCTCGGCCTCCCAAAGTGCTGGAATTGCAGGCTGAGCCACCGAGCCCGGCCAGGTCATTTCCTTTTTCTCATCTTTTCCCTCCTCTCTGTTTTTCAAACTTATAATGGAAAATGTCGAGCATACGCCACATTTGAAAGAACAGTATAGTGAGTCCCTTGTCACCCTCGGTTGAGCCTAACAGTTAATAACAGTTAATAACATTTTGTTTCATATGACCTCCCACTTTTTTTTAAAGAAAAATTTAATAACTTGTAGGAATTATTATGATTTTAAAAAAAATTTTGACTTGGGATCTCACTCTGTTGCCCAGGCTAGAGTATAGTGACACAGTCATGGCTTACTGCAGCCTCAATCTCCTGGCCTCAGGATATCCTTCCCCTCAGCCTCCTGAGTAGCTGGGATTACATGTATATGCCACCGGGCCTGGCTAATTTTTTTATTTTTTATAGAGACAAGGTCTTGATATGTTGCCTCGGCTGGTCTTGAACTCCTGGGCTCAAGCAATCCTTCTGCCTTAGGATCCCCAAGTGCTGGGATGACAGACTACCGCGCCTGGCCTGGGTCAATACATTTCAAAGTAGATCCCAGACATCATATCTTTTGACCTATAAATACATCATGTGTGTCTTTAGCAGATGAGGCTAAAATAAATAAATAAAAATAACCACAATTCCATTATTTCACTCAACACAATTAACATGATTTCCTTCTGTCATGTCATATCCAGCCCATGTTTCGTTGTCTCCAAGTGTCTTAAACATGTTTTTATACTTAATTGGCTTGAATCAGGTCCAGACCCAAGGTCAACACATTGCTTTTGGCCGAAGCCTCTTGAGTCTCTCTGTCTATAAGTTTCCCAGCCCTTTCTTACTTTTTTTCAGGCCACATATTTGTTGAAGAACCTGGCACTTGTAGAATGTCTCATATTCTGGATGTGGCTAATTGTGACCCTGTGGTGGGGTGTGACATGTGCCTCTCTCCCTTGTCTTTCCTGTAAACTGGTAGCTAGATGGGGTCGCTTGATTAGATTCAGATTCATTTTTTAACATTGAGGTATAATTTCCAAACAGTGAAATACAGAGCTCAGGTGTACAGCCACTGAGTTTTGACAAATGTATGTACTCACATGACCCACACCCATCAAGATGTAGAAAACTTCCATCACCCTAGAAAATTCCTCCTTCTACTTTCTTTTGATCAGTTCTTCCCTGTGTATGTGGAAATCAAGTTTCATCCACCAAGCACAGCTGAGGATTTTGACCTGCTGTTCTAGCTCTGCCTTGCCCAGGGTGTTTAGGATCAATGTTGGAAAAATTGCTTCCTGGCTAAAGATAATATGGGGCATCCTGCTGCCATCCGAACCAACTCTTCTCATGACCAGGCAACATGTTTTCATTGGCATCTTATATCAGGAAAGAATTTTAGTTGCAAGTGGTAAAAATTGATATCCGAATTGGCTTAAATAATGTAAGGTATTTATTGGCTCATATAACTGAAAGTTCTAGATGTAAATCCGGATTTCAAGTGAGGGTTGAGCTAGTGGCTCAACACTATTACCTAGGGGCTGGCTTTTCTTCTGTTTTTCTGCTCTGCCATCTACTGGATCAACTTCATGTTATATTTAGGTTCAAAATGGTAGCCATTGGCCTCCCAGGACCGTGTGCTTTCTCAGTCATATTTAGGAAGGCCAAGAGACTGTATTTTTTTCCTAGAATTCCTATCAATAGTCCTGAGATTTGTCCTGGTTGGTCCGGCCTAGAATACATACCCACTTCTGGTCCATTCAGCTGTCCAATTCTGGGGCTGCGGACAGAGTCAGCTTCTCTGGAACCACATGAATCCCTGAAATGGAAATCAGAACCTAATGACAAGGAGGGATTGGATGCTGCAGAGGCAGACATAGATATCTGCTGCCGCAATTTAAACCCCGGAAGCCTCTGTGATGGGCTTGCCTGGCTGTGCCGGACGTCATGCTTGACCCTTTTTTACCAGCCATGCTGAGATTTTCTAGAATTTGGGGGTGGAGGTGGGGTGGTCACTATATTCATTCTGAGCTTGCTATTTCCAGCTGGGAAAAACGCACGGATCCCCGAGGCAGGTTTTACTATGTGGACCACAACACTCGGACCACCACCTGGCAGCGCCCCACAGCTGAGTACGTGCGCAACTACGAGCAGTGGCAGTCACAGCGGAATCAGCTCCAGGGGGCCATGCAGCACTTCAGCCAAAGATTCCTCTACCAGGTGAGAGGGCAGGTCCTGCCTTGAGGGAGGGGAGCCTCCCTGTTTTTTAGAATGTGCTGTCTCTGTTGACCTGCTTGGTGAACAGGGAAAATAGTGGCTAGCAACATCAGTGCTCTGAACCTGGACATTTTACTCATCACAGTGAAATTCCTCAAGTTTCAGGGTTTCTAACTTAGCAACTCCATGTCTAGCCTCTGTGTTTAAGGAATCATCATGTCTCAAAACAAACTTACCATCTTTCTTCCAACACTGGCCCCCTCCATTCAAGTTCATCTTCCCTGACTTGAAATCTGCAGTCAGCCTTGACTTCTCCTATACCTCACCGTTCCAGATCAAAGTGGTCACCCAAGTCCTCCTCTTTCCATTACTGCTACTGTTTTGTTGTTATTATTAGATCTTTATTATCTGACAGATTCTCACGGATGGAGGACTGTCATGGCTCATCTTGATCAGGGGTTGGCAAACAATAGCCCATGGGTCAAACTGGCCCACTGCCTAATTTTGTTAATAAAGTTTTACTGGAACATAGGCATGCCCAGTTTTCACTGTGGCTGCTTTAATGGTACAACAGTAGAGTTGAGTAGTCACAACAGAGACTGTATAGCTCACAAAACCTAAAATATTTACTGTTTGGCCTTAGTAGAAAAAGTTAGTTGATCCCTGGTCTAGCCCAGCCTCCTTCTCTCTGTTAATAGATTTTCCTCTGTCCCCGCTCCATCTGAATTGTTGGAGCAGCCTCTGAATTGTTCTGTCTGCTGGTCTTCTCTCTCTTCCAGTCTGGCTGCCTATTCTCACCAGAGTAATCTTCACATATTACTGTCATTATATCACTTTACTGGTAATTACCTTCTGTGGTCATTACCTACAGAATAACATTTTCTGGTTATTACCTACATTTTCTAGTTATTACCTACAGAATATTTTCTAGTCATTACCTACAGAGTAAACTTTCTAGTCCAGAATTCAAGGTCCTCTGGTCCCAAATTAACTGTCTAACATTTCCACACTGTATCTCCATCCCTTTAGAGTCTCCGTTCCATTAGAGCATCCACTGGTGACCTGGAGCTGGGGGGAGCCCAGCTGCATAGCCTCTTTGTCAGGAGGAAGTGGAATTCCCAAGTTGGAGTCTGGCTGAGTTTTCTCAGAGCCCTTGAATTTGAAGATTGGGAGCTGCAGTAGAACTAGTACAGCTGTGGTGGTACACTGCAAGCTGGAAACGTTTTGAACCAGACCTCAACTTTTAATCATTGTGTATAATGTTGTCTCTATTTGAAATGAATTTTAACCCTACAGACAACCCATTTCTAAATTGGATACTACCCTAGTTAGGTGCTCAGAAACATCTTTAATTCCATCTAAGTAGCATTCCTTGTCACCTTTGTCTTCATTTGTGGCTCTTTCTCTGCCTACCCAAAGCAGGAGCTCCATCATCAACTATAAGTCACTGTAGCATCTCCCTTGGCTGGTTTATCCCTTCTTCTGTCTGTGGAGGCTGATTGCTCATCATAAAGTTAGGAAATGAAGGAGGACCCCAGGTTCTTTAGTAGGGATGAGCAGAAAGTGGTGTTTGTCATAGTAAGTTGCCTCCAAGGTCAGCTCTCATGCCCCCTATAACCCATGCCCCTGGGGCTGACCCAGTGCAATACTGCCTGTGTTCTTGGACCAGACATCCCACTTAGAATCCCATCACAAGTGCCTGGCATCCTGTTCCAGAATGCTTCTAAATTGGATGGAATCTGATCATTCTTAGCACTTTAGCCATTGCTCCCTTTGAGCTGGTTCTGAAAGCCTTTGCCTGCCATTTTCTTGGTGGTCATGGCTGCAAAACTGGGAAGGTCTAGGGGCATCTTCCCCTCTCTCCCTCTCCCTGTCTCTCTCTCTCCTCCTCCCCTTCTTTCCCCCTCCCTCTCCCTCCCTTTCTCTCTCTCTCTCTCTCTCTCTCATAAGTTGGGGGTCTCACTCTTTCACCCAGGCTGGGGGTGCAGTAGCATGATCGTGGCTCACTGCAGCCTCAACCTTCTAGGCTCCAGCGATCCTTATGCCTCAGCCTCTAGAGTAGCTGGGGCTATAGGCATGTGCCACCATGCCTGGCTGTTTTTTTTATTTTTAGTAGAGATGAGGTCTCGCTATGTTACCCAGGCTGGTCCTGAACTCCTGGGCTCAAGCTTTCCTCCTGCCTTGGCCTCCCAAAGTTCTGAAATTACAGGTGTGAGCCACCCCACCTGGCCTGCATCTTTCTTTGATCTCTATGTCCTTTGACTTAAAGACAGGACACTTTTTAGGAGTTTCACTTGATTATCCAACTTCTCAAGTTAAAAAAAAAAGATCAAGCCAGCCTCTGTGGCTTGTGCCTGTAATCCCAGTGACTTGGGAGGCCAAGAAGGGTGGAATGGCTTAAGGCCACGAGTTTGAGACCAGTCTGGACAACACAGTGAAACCCTATCTCTACAAAATATTAAAAAATTAGGCGGGCCTGGTGGTGCACGCTGTAGTCCCAACTACCCGGGAGGCTGAGGTGGTAGGATCGCCTGAGCCCAAGAGTTCAAAGCTGCAGTGAGATATGCTCATGCCACTGCACTCCAGCCTGGACAACAGCAAGACCCTGTCTCAAAAATCCTCTAGTGGTGTGTGTGTGTGGTTTTTTTTTCTTTCTTTCTTTCTGTACCACCCACTAAGTGGGTTCTGTAGGTTGACCAAGGTGTCTGCTGTGCAAAAGGGAAGAGTCACATGTTCTGGAACTCACAGCCCTTGGGCTTTGGGAAACATTCATTCCTCTTGCCTCTCTCTCTCTCTCTCTCCTTTTAACAACATAATTCCAGGATTGCAGAGGTAGAACTTGGACTTGGAGGGTTCCCTAGAAGCAAAAATTAACCTCTAAACTCTAGCTGGTTTTCTCAGCTCAGCTGGGGATGTAGGAGGTTCTGCTTGGAGGTGATGGTTACCTTTTCTCCGTGAAACAAGACTCATATTGAAAACTGTGGTAGGAATCTTTTTCTGGTCTGCTTTCAGTGTCTCTCTGTTGACTTTCCTCCCCCTCTGGATTTGGTTTTCCCCTCTTGTTTGCTATGGTGCCATGTCCTGGTTACAAGTAAGAAGGGTTGCTTTCATATAGTTATTTTGGGGTTTGGCTTTGGCCCAGGCTTTGACTCGGAAGACTTAAGAGCCGATACTATACCAGTGACTTCCCCTCCTCCTTGCTGGGCTTAAACTAAGACCTTGTTCTTCTCCACTGCACTGCAGAGAACTTGAAATACAGTTCAGAATGGAAATCAAGGGAATCCCAGATTGTGTCTCCTGTAATTCCTTCCTGCAGTCTGCCTCAGTGCACACCTTCTTCAGTTCCTTTAAGTTATTGTTCTCCTTATTCCTGCCTTGTTTTCCTTTCCTACCCCCATCATGTGCTTTTGTTGCTTGTGGTCGTCATGCATATTTTTGTTTGCTTGTTTCACCCCTGCAGTTTCCTTTTGCCCTCTCTGTTGTGTCCCAGCTGTGATCCACCATGCTCATGGTGCCACTGTGACGGGACCATCACACAGCCGATAATTTCTGGGGCAGCTCTTTAGTCCCCCTTCGTTCCTCCCCTGACATCTAAAGGAGGTAGCCAGAGTCTGCAAGATTGAAACAGATCATTTTATGGCCCTTAGTGTGTGGCCTGCTTATTGCATTATCCAGAAACATACAACTTGTTTATTACTCTGCAGAGAACCCCTTGGATTGAATTCTTTAGCACCTGGGTTTTGTTCTGTGTCCATTGGGTTCATCCTTAAAACAAAAAAAACAAAAACAAAAACACAACAATGCCCGCCTTCCATGCTGCAGTCTTTATGCCCTTCCCAGAACCTTTCTTGCCCTCGGCTGTAATTGCTAGACATTCTTTATTTCTGAGTTTGTATCTTAAAATATTACTAGAACTTTGTGCTTGGTCCCTAAGGGACTTGAACTCACGTGAGCTCTCTGGCTCGTGGCCTGCACCCCAGACCTCCCAACCCAGGGACCAGTACCAGGGAGAATGATTCAACAGCGCTTCTCTGTTTCTTGTGATAATGGACACCCAGGATCTCTCTTCTAGCTATGGTCCCCCTTTGCCTATCTGTGAGCTTTTCTTCTGCGCCCCTTGTAATTCTTTGGAATTGCTCATTGCAGGGGAATGTGGAAGAAGAGAAGGCACAGTCGATCAACTCGTTGGTGGTGTGGTTTTGGTTTTTTAGTTTTCTCACCATGATGTGTCGCTTTTATTTCTTGTTTCTCCTTGGCTTCTGTTCGTACCCTTCCTTCTGGCTTCCTTTTTTTTACTTTTCAAGTTGTACCATGCATCTTAGGGGGAAAATAGCCAAAATAGTCAAGTGCTTTGCCTTACTGTAAGAAGTAAAATGATCATGAGGTCTAGCTTCCATTGATTGCATGAGTTGTCGTGTTTATCAACCTCTGGTTTCTCTCTATGGCCTATCTGCCTCCTCTTCTCTGTCCTTCTTACAGGCAGGGAGGTGGGGTTCTTATAGAATGAGAATGGAAGGACACCAAAAAGAAAATGTTTAAAACACTTTTATGAGAGGGAGTCAACATTGTATCAAGTTTGGGATTTAAAAAATTTGAGTTGGGGTCTCACTCTGTTGTCCAGGCTAAAATGCAGTGGTAAAATCACAGCTCACCAAAGCCTCGACCTTCTGGGCTCAAGCAGTCCTTCCACCTCAAATCCAGAGTAGCTGGGACTACAGGCATGTGCTACTTATGCGCGGCTAATTTTTAAATTTTTTTGTAGAGACTCTCGCTATGTTGCCTAGGCTGGTCTCAAACTCCTGGGCTCAGTTAGTCCTCTTGCCTTAGCCTCCCAAAGTGCTGGGATTACAGGCATGAGCCACTAAGCCTGGCCATGTTTGGGATATTTTTTGAAAGGGCAAGGATCAAGAAAAAGGCTGACAAATATGTTTTGTTCCTAGTTCAATGTTGGTCATGAAGGCTGTCAGGTCTATTGATTTGTGGAGTTAAGCAACAGATAACTGTAAACCCACAGAATCCTGGTTCGTACAAGCTGGTGGCTGACTGCCCATCAGTCTTGGACACTTTATAGATTATCTACTCATTCTGAAACAAGACCTGAAGCAGCAAACAGTTTTACACGTATGCTGCTGCTGTTAATTTCTTAAAATAACCTTTTCTATGGTTCTTCCCTTTTACACGGGCACTCTATAGCTCAGTGCTTACCAACTGCATTCAGCTTCAGTGTCTGCAATCCGTGTGTTTCCACATTCTCTCCTTTGCTTCTATCGCCAAATGTTTTTACAGCTATTGTTCTTACGTATTAACCGCAAAACAAAGGTGGAGGAACTTGGATTGTATGAGATGCTGTTCCCTATCCCCCCAGCTCCCGACATACAGCACACACCAAAATGACTTCTGTGAATCTGGGAGACTTTTTTCAGTAATGGTCAGATATGAATTGTGATGGAGCTTTTTAAGCACATCCGCGAGATGATGGTGTGGTGCCCAAGTCAAGGTCAGCTTCCCCCACCTTCATGCAGCTCCACTCTGTGTGGGCAGGAGGCCCTTCTCTGAAAGGGGTCTCTGTCCTAGCAAGGAACCTACGGTTTCAAGACTTAAACGTCTTTGTTGGAACTGGCTCGGAAGAGGAGCCAGTGTTGCCACCTTGGACAGAAAGTTTCTCTGTCCTTTCGGTTGGAGGTAGGGGGAGGGCTGTGGAAGGGGGTTCCTTGGCAGTTTGAGTTCCACCAATGTTTTCTCAAGCCCATACTGAGCTCCATTCATCCTGCCGGTGTGTGGCTCCGTCACCCCCAAACGGGGCCAGCCCAGCAGCCTGAAGTCTGCATTTAGAACCCGATCTCTTCATGTAATGATTAAATTGTAGTAAATGAAATAAAAATGCTTCAGAAAAAAAAAAGAAAGAAAGAAAGAGCGGAACAATACTTGTTTTATTTAAGTATGAAAAGTTTTTGACAGCACCCCCCTTCCCTGCAGGATATGAGAACTCTCGGTCCACTGCAGCCCATCCCCTGGGACCCCTGAAGCAGAATTAGGCCGAGGGGGGGGATTCTAAAGTAAACATTGACCCTGAAGTCCTGGAGCCGGTTCCCCCTTCTTTCTCCTGTCTCCCCTTCTCTTGCCGCCCCGCCCCTGGCCCCACCTCCCCAGACGGGCGAAGCAGAACACTGAGCAGCTTCAGGTTCAGACCGGGAAGAATAAAGGTGCTTTGTGCAGGGAAGGAAAACATTCCTGGGGGAGGTGAGGGGCTTGGGGCATGAATGTGCCCTCAGTCTGGGTGGATGCCGCACACCCAGGAGGGAGGTGGGGGTGGACGCCGAGGTGGAAGGGAGGAGGGCCCAGCCCCGGCCAGGAAGCTCTGGGCGTGGGCAGGGCTTGTGGGAATGATTTCATTGGAAAGGCCTGCGATATTTTTTCCCCTCCTGTGTGTGGTTCTTGGAGAAAGTTGGAGGTGGTGGTGATTTCAGTCGCCTTGGCCGCTGCGAGCAGGAGCTGAGCAGAGGCACTCGGCCGACTTGCTGGGAAGCCCTCGCCGGGGCCTCCGCCGTGCCCGTGGGCTCCTGCGCACAGCCCGGCCCACCTTCCTCGCGCACCTCTTCCTCCTATAGCTCCACCCTTTCCAAAACCCTCCTGGGCCCTCTGTGCACAGGGTTCCTTTTCGGTTTTTCTTTCTTTCTTTTTTTTTTAAACAAAACAAAGACTTTTGAGAGGAGCAGATGCCACCTAAGGTCCCACTGCATCCCCTACAAAGTGCTAAAAACGTGGAAATGAGTCCTTAGCATTTTTATTTTTTATCAGTTGATTTATTTTTAACCAGTGGCTTTTTTTTAACCCCTGTGTTCTGCTGTGTTTCTTGTGTTTAGTCTTCAAGCGCTTCGACTGACCATGATCCCCTGGGCCCCCTCCCTCCTGGCTGGGGTAAGTACGGAGTTCTGTTTCTTTGCCCTTGGCGTTTCTGTGCCCTCAGCATTCATCAGCCACTGCGCTCTGTCCTCTTCTCCTGCTGTCTTCCTTCTTCACTCCCATGCCTTGGTTTTCCGTTTCACCTTTCTAGCAGTTCTCTGGGCATGCCCAGCCAGAGAATCGCAGGTGATGGGGCTGGAAGGTTGGGAGAATAGCCAAGCGCGCAGTGTGGCCTTAGCATCCACCCGCATAGCTAAGGGAGTGTGACCCTAAGAAAGACATCTCTGCGCAGCAGTGGCGCTGTTGGGTTTGGCCTTAAGTTCCAAGCTGTCTATTCAAGAATCCATCCTATCACTAAGATACTTTGACACTGACCGATTCCCAGATGGATTTGTTTCAGGTCTATAACCGTATGGTTGGAAGGAGCCACCTAAACAAACCTTTCTTCGCAGCTGAGATGTGGGAGGACTTCAGTCTAGTTTTGACTACTGAAAGCCATTTTTTAAAATTTGCGATGCAGCTGTGAAAGAGACCAGAGAGGAAGGGAAGCAGATAAGAGAGCTGAGCACTGGGTAGTAACTCCATGAAAGTACATCACTGCCAGTGAATAGCTTCTCCTTGCCATTAGTGGCCGCATCTTACCTGCTCCAAGTCCTTGGTGTGATTTGCCAACAGTGAGTTAGGATTGGACATTGTGACTTGGGAGAGATGACAGGTTTTACGGCTATTCAAGAAATAGGTGGGTTTACTAGATGTAAAAAGGGTCACTAGAGGTGATGAGTCTTAGAGCATTTTGTAACTCCTAGAGGTGGGGCAGAGTTTTGTTCAAACCTGCAAGCATTCCTGGGAACTGAAGAAGGCAGTTTTGGCAGGAATCCAGCAAAATCCAGTGTTGGAGTCCAGTGGTGGGTTTAATGTATTGGTTAACCCCTGCAGAAGTCAGTAAATGCTGGCTTGGTGGTATTCACAGACTGTTTAACTGGAAGGGAGTGCGCCCACCAACAAAGATGGAGAAACGTGTCCTGGGAAGCTGACAATGACAGGCTGAATGTCCACCACCTGGAAAAGTGCAGCCTTGGGGTTGGATCCTCTCGATGCAGACACAATTACTCCCTGATAGTAACTGAAGAGGCGGTATCAATTCCCTTGGGCCTGCAGGGTATCATTGGGGAATCACCACTGCGTGCCAGAGTGCTAGGAGGATCTTCTGGTCCTCCTCGTGGGAGATGTCAGTTAGTAAAGCTTCCACACATTTCTTGATTTTCAGCTAGGGAATCTTTTATGCACACAGATGACCCTCCTGGCTCCCTAGACCAATGAAAGGTCACTGGTATCTCAAAGACTGGCAGCAGGTCAAATGTGAGAGAGCATCCCTGCCTTGCCCAGTAGGCAGGGGAAACACATGCAGTTCAACAAGAACTGTGATGCTATTTGGCATTACAGGGGATCTGGTGTTTGCTTCTGGCTCTGTTGGAGTCAGGCAGTGTAGCCCGGTCAAGTGAGTTCATTTTTGTAACAGTTTTATTAAATGTTGCTCACCAGGTAGAACAGCTGATGGGGACTTTAAAACAGTTCCCAGAGGCTAAGTGGGAAAATATTTGAGATGGGAATAGAGGAGCCTTGGTCAGAGTCAATACTATTTATGAACAGTCAGAAAAAAACCCACAAAACTAATAATCCAAGGTTGAGAAAAAGTTCTAAAGGCTACGGGGCCAGGACACCTTCCCAATCAAAAGTCCTTGGGGCTTGTGTTGGCTTCCCCGGGGCTGTGTTGGGGGCCGCCTCCCAGGACTCTTTAAGAACAAACAGCAAGAGAAACCCAGTGAGCATCACACTGATGGGCAGCTGCTGTCGGAGCCCGTTGGCATTCCTCTGTTCTCAGGCCCTGGGAGAGATCTTGCGTTTTCCCCACACACTGCTGTGGGACTAAGGACACCTTGGGTTTAGATCCATATCTGCTCCCCAATAGCCCTGACCTGTGTGACTGAATATTCCTGAGCCCATTTGCTCCTAAAATAAGGTAGAGCCAGGTGCTCTTTTAAGGACTCTCTCAGGTTCCAGACTGTGAAGTTATTTGCAGCGAGGTAGTTCCATGGGCCGTGAGAGACCCCCACGTGTCAGGAATGATGACACAGGCCTCAGACCTGCTGGACAGATCCTCCGGCCTGGCGGTTAGCCTTGGCTTTGGCCCTTGGCAGAGCAGATGGGGGGGTCTAGTTCAAAGCAGTAGCTTCTGGGCTGGGGTGGACCCCTCCCCTAGAAACCCTCTCGGGAAGCCTTCCTTCTGTGGGCAGCCACAGGGGCTGTTCTCAGGCAGTGGTGACTCTGTAACAGCACCAGGCACCTCCTGGCCTTTCTTTCATTTTGTCTTTATTTTTATTTATTTTTCAGTTTTATTGAGGTTCAGTGGACAGATAATGTCTGTCTGTACGATTTCAGTGGAGTAATAGACACCAGGTAAAGCAGAGAGAGAGACAGAGAGAGAGAGAGAGAGAGAGAGACCGAGACGAAGACCTCGGGCTGATACGGGGGACACTGCAATCTCATTCTTGGGGTGGGGCATCGAGGGGTGGCTGGGCTGGCCTTCCCAGTTCTCCTTTTTCAGCTTTGGGGTTCCTGTAGCTTCTGGAACTGGTTATTTTTACTTCTTTAATTTCACCCTGTCATTGTAAAAGAGGGAGAGCCACGAACATTGCTTGTTTTCAGAATAGAAACTGATTTGAAGGCTCAGGGACTTCCTGGGTAAGGTGACCCTTTTGGGGCTTGGAGCCTTGCCTCTAGTTTTCTCTCCCACTCAGATATAGCTGATGGATCACCCCTTCCACCCCCTCTCAAGGCTCCCTCCCTTGGGGACCCCAGAGCCATCATCATTGTATCAGTCAAGGGCAAGAGGGTAGAGACTGTCCAGAGAAAAAGTATGTTTGTGCCCCACCCCCTTCCACAAACATTTCTCCATCTCAAAGCACACGCTTAGGTGTAAGAACAAGTTGGGCACTGTGAGCGCCTGCAGCCCCAGGCATAAATTATTTGCTTGTAAACACCATAGAGGTTGTTCTGGGATAGGAGAGTTTTAGAACAAAACTTCACCTGTAAGTGGGAGGAGAGAGAGAACGTGTAGGCACTTGGACCCCGGGGTGCGGAACACTGATCAGAGAGGTGTGAGGGAAAACACCCCCCCCACGGGAGTCCTGCCCTGCTGGACAGAGGTATCCAGAGCGGCTGCATCTCATGGACAGAGTGGTCACAGGACTGGGGGTCAGCCTGAGGGATGGTGGTGGGGGCCTGATGGGGTGGTGGCAGGGCTGGGGGCTGCAGGGCTTCTGTGCTGCACACAGCTGGTTGCAATTATGCCTCTGGTTTCAGCTGGGCTGTTCCCTCTGTGTGGCCACCCCCCTACTCTCCACCCCAACCAACCAACTAACCGACAAAAGTAGTACTTCATCAGAGTTGGAAGTGTATCTACCCCTCACCTACCCCCAGTGAAGAAGGGCTCTCTTTGTCCCTTTTCCTGGTGGCAAATATGAGCGAGCCATGCTTTGGCCGGTAGACTTCTCTAACAGGGTGGCAACAGAGGCTGAAGTTCAGACCCAGCACACAGGAGGTGGGAGCCAGAGGGAGAGGACACTGGCTTAAGATGTTTCAACCTGATTGCTGTCTCTTTCTTCTCCCGTGGCAGAGAAGAGACAGGACAATGGACGGGTGTATTACGTGAACCATAACACTCGCACGACCCAGTGGGAGGATCCTCGGACCCAGGGGTGAGGACGTGGGCTGAAGGGGGTCTGGGCCGGGCCCCTGTGCAGCTCCAGCATCGGGCAAGTGGCCTGGGGCTGCATTTGTCAGAGAGCTGATGTTAGGGAACCGTTAGCCACACACAGGTGTCGGCCTAATGAGAGCTTGCAAGGGGTTCCCAGTGGATGGAGAGCGGCTCACCTGGCAGGCATTGCTGGATTCGGTACTGATTGTGGCGGCTGCTGATCATTTGATTGCAAAAAGGTTGAGGGCACTCCGGCTCCCCAACACCCCAGGAGAAGTAGGCTGGGCCACTGGGTGCATCAGGATTGCCGACGGTCACTCAGTCCACTGCCATCCACTCAGGGTTGGTGTTTTGGCCTTGGGACAGTTAAATAACCTCTCTGTGCTGCAGAACTGTCCTGGCATCTTGGGTCATGCAGGTGTGTGCCTCCGCAGGCCCCCCCAAGGGTGAAAGCAGAGACCAAGCAGCATTTTGAGGACCCCAGGTGGGGCTAGCCCTAAATCCCTCTCTTCCTATGCTTCCAGGATGATCCAGGAACCAGCTCTGCCCCCAGGGTGGGAGATGAAATACACCAGTGAGGGGGTGCGGTACTTTGTGGACCACAATACCCGCACCACCACCTTTAAGGACCCGCGCCCAGGATTTGAGTCGGGGTAAGGACTTTCCATAGGCAAAGTGAGGCCCAGCTTGTCCTTATTTGGCTAGCCCTGGGAGGCCGGCCTTGGGTGGCCCCTGTGGCATGTTCTGCTGCTCTTACTGCCCTCTAGTGGCCAGTGTTGATGTCACATAAGAGGGGATGGGGAGGAAGGGTAACACTAGTGGATTTCTCTAAAAGCAAGAGTTCTGGCTTTCTTCCTAGATTTTCTTTTTTAGTCTTCAACAATCTTAGTAGCATTCACTTCCTTGCCTTACTTTACGCGTCTTTACCACAGCATCAGCTTTCCTTAAGTTGTTCGTTTTTTAAGAAATCACACGAGGTTGGGCTTGGGGGCTCACATCTGTAATCCTAGCACTTGGGGATCCAAGGCAGGAAGATCGCTCGAGCCCAGGAGTTGAGCCCAGGTGGGCAACATAGTGAGACCTCGTCTCTACAAAATGTCAACAGGGAGTAGTGGCTTGTGCCCTGTAGTCCCAGACTCAGGAGGCTGAGGTGGGAGGATCACCTGAGCCCAGGAGGCTGAGGCTGTGGTGAGCTGGGATTGTGTCATTGCACTCCAGCCTGGGAGTGAGACCCTGACTCAGAAAACAAAACAAAAAACAGACACACATGCAAAAGGAGAAATCACATGAATTTCAGAACATCTTTCTCTTCCCAGGACGAAGCAGGGTTCTCCTGGTGCCTATGACCGAAGTTTCCGGTGGAAATATCACCAGTTCCGTTTCCTCTGCCATGTGAGTTCTAGTGCCAGAGCTTCTGCAGCAGTTGGGGTTACTGAATTATTTTAGCCCAGGTATTAGCTTGTCTGTGTCTCAGGTGGGGACAAGATACTTGTCCAACCCTGAGCTGGTTGTCTCTAGAAAGCCAGCTTAATTTCTAGGGGACACATTGTCTCCCCCTGGCCTGAGGGGGCTGGGGGACGCTTGTTCACACAGACAGGAGGCCAGATGACCACCTGAGGCCCAACGTGAGGTTTGTTCCTTTTCTTTTCAGTCAAATGCCTTACCCAGCCATGTGAAGATCAGTGTGTCCAGGCAGACGCTTTTTGAGGATTCTTTCCAACAGGTTAGAGAATAATTGTGTTGCCCAAGACCAGGGCAGGCAGAAGCCCTCCTCCCACCATCCACGTCCTGTCACCTAGCCTGTTAAGCCCACATGGCAGAGTTTCTAAGGCGTGTGTCTCAGTGACTGAGCCTGCTGGAGAGAAGACTTTAGAGTCCCCTGTGCCCCGCCCCCACCTGCCTCCGGAGGAGGAATGACAGGCCGACCCGATGCTGTCTCCCCAGATCATGAACATGAAGCCCTATGACCTGCGCCGACGGCTCTACATCATCATGCGTGGCGAGGAGGGCCTGGACTATGGCGGCATTGCCAGGTGAGCTCGAGCACCCCAGAAGGCTGCTGTGTACTCTGCTTCCCCAGACCCCAGGGCCCATGGAAGAAAAGTTGCCTCCTCCTCACTCAAGTTCATTCCCAAGCTCTCCTTTATCTTCAGGATTGGGCACAGGGTGACACTGAGAACACTGAATCCACATAGCCAGTCCCAGTGGGCCTGGAGCAGGGTGCTAGGGTCCCCTGTGGGCTGGGCGCTAACCCTTGAGTCACTAGGTCACGGGGAGGCTGTTGGCTCCTGGGGGAGGGGTTCGGGACAATGGCTCTTATCCACCAATATGTCATTACTTTAGTTCCTTAACTGCCAGTCCTGCGGCATCAGTGGACAGTGGCTGAACATGGGTGCTGTGTGGTTGCCCATTCAAATCGACCCTGGGCTTCCCCTCCCTGAGGCAGCTGGGGCAGGTGAAGCCAGGTGTCCCTGTGTGTATAAGCAATGTCGTGATCACAAGGGGCTTGATCAGTACTCAGCTGCGTGTCATGTGTGTGGGGTCAGTAAAACTGAAACAGCCAATGTGACCCTAAAAAGAGCCCAAAACATTGTCTTGCCCTCACCCTGGTCCACCTATAAAAGTGAACAGGTTCTCTGGGAAACAGTGCCTTGGACAGCGGGGCAGGAGGGCCCCAGCAGAGAGAAGGTGCGTCCTGGCCTGCGTTGACCTCTCGGCTCGCTGACCTCTCATGGTGTGGGGATGTCCTCTCGCTTGGTGTTGGGTTGACTCGCTTCCAGTCCTCTGTTCGCTGGTGGCGTTGCCTTCTGCCCTGGGCCCCCCTCCCCGCCCCGTGGATGGATTGTTCTTTTTTCCGTGGTGACCTCCTCTCCAGGCTCTGCTTGGTGGGCTTCTGGTGCGGCCCCACTCTGTGTGTCTCTCTCTCTGTGTCCTGCCAGTGGTTTTACCCTATGGTAGGTTACGTCATGCTGTTCTACCACAGGGTAGAACCACGGACAGGATACCGGGGCACCCTCTGCATCGAAGGACTCCGCGTCTGCCCAGCCACAGACAGCCCAGCAGCCAGGGACTGGCCCTCTTGGGATGCCCCCTGCTGGTTTAGCTCAAGCCCAGAAGGACTCTGAATTCAGGCTTGAGGCTTGTCCCCAGGGTGTAAATAGATGCTGCAGCATGGGTGCTGGCCCAGATGGAGCCCTGGACATGAGGGAAGGGCAGGGAGATGGGTCCGGGCAAGGGAAGTGCAGGGTGCAAGGGAAGCGAGTGCCTGTGGTAGCTGGTGGGAATGAGGCCTGTCGTCTGGAGGCAGCGTGGATTCCAGAGCTGTCACGGATCAGGAGCTGGGAATGTGTCACCATGTCTTTATGTTCTGCTGCCTACTCAGGTGGGGCGGAAGCAGGGTGATTGCTATTCAAACAGCATGTTTGCAGGAAAATTGTTGTAATAAACATGCAGGTCCATGATGCATCAACATAGTACTCTCGTGCAGTACAACAGCCTACACAGCGGTGCACAACGAGTCCCTTAGAAGCTCCAGATACCTGGGCATGGTGGCTCATGCCTAGAATCCCAGCACTTGGGGAGGCTGAGGTGAGAGGATTGCCTGAGCTCAGGGATTCAAGACTAGTCTGAGCCACTTGGCGAGACCTCATCTCTACAATAAATCAAAAAATTAGCTGGGAGTGGTGGTGTGCACTTGATGTTCCAGCTTCTTGGAAGGTTGAGGCAGAAAGATTGCCTAAGCCCAGCATGTCGAGGCTACAGTGGCCATGAGTGTACCACTGCACTCCAACCTGGGTGACAGAGTGAGACTCTGGCTCAAAAAAAACCCAGATATTGTAATGTATAGTCCTAGAATGTGACTGGGTGCAGTAGTTCATACTTACAATCCCAGCACTTCGGAAGGTTGAAGCAGGAGGATTACTTGACCCTAGGAGCTCAAGACCAGCCTGGGCAACATAGCGAGACCTTGTCTCTATAAAAAATTAGCTGAAGCTGGGCTCAGTGGCTCAGCCTGTAATCCCTCGCTTGGGGAGGCCGAAGTGAGTGGATTGCCTGAGCCCGCGGGCTCGAGACCCGCCTGGGCAACTTGGCAAGACCTCATCTCTACAATAAATAAAAAATTATCTGGGCGTGGTAGCACGCGCCTGTAGTTCCAGCTACTTGGAAGGCTGAGGCGGAAGGATCACCTGAGCCCAGAAGTTTGAGACTGCAGTGAGCTGTGATCTTGCCACTGACACTCCAGCCTGGGTGACAGAGTGAGACCCCGACTCAAAAAGTCCCGGAATGCACCACCTGGAGCCAACAGGCACACACACAGGTTCTCCTGAGCATCCTCCTAAATGTAGTTTCCTGATTCACCCTGGGTCTGAGCCCACCCTGATCAGCGGCTACTCTAGGCCAGCCTGGGTGCTGATCGCAGAGGGCATGTGTCTCCAGACTGAGACACAACAATGCTGAGTCACAGCTCCTGTGCAGGCATGCATGCTGGGAGGGATCTTTTATTCTTGTTGTTTCTCTCTTCCCTCCCAGAGAGTGGTTTTTCCTCCTGTCCCACGAGGTGCTCAACCCGATGTACTGCTTGTTTGAATACGCCGGGAAGAACAATTACTGCCTGCAGATCAATCCTGCCTCCTCCATCAACCCTGACCACCTCACCTACTTCCGCTTCATTGGCAGATTCATCGCCATGGTAAGGAGGGTTGGACCCCCTAGTCCAGGAGTTCTTACCTCATTTTCTTCCTCTTCCTTCTCCTGGTGAGGCATGCCAGGGGTACAGGGGCATCCCCTCTTCCCCCAAGATTTTTAGGAAGGGCAGAGTCTGAGAAGGCTGGTCTGTGCCCCAGGAGGCAGGCTGGTACCAATGGCAGCCCCATGGCCTGGCACTCCTTCTCTGGGCCCCACCCTTCCTCCCCACAGGACTCCTAACTCAAAATGCAAAAAGCTCGAGATAGGTCTGGAGAAACTGGAACTTTCTCAGTGGCCACCCCGCGGTTATTGAAGGGTTTCCCATGGTGACCTGTATGGGGCTTGTCAAGAGGAAGCCCAGGGTCTCTGGGCCACAGATTTCACTAAGTATTAAACATGTGACCTGTTGAAGGCCTTGGGATGACAGGGCTGAATGAAACCATAACTTCCCATTTGCTGCCTGTCTGGGAGGTGCCACTGTCTGTCATGAGCATCTGGGATATCCAGCTGAGGTACTAGGGGATTTGGTATTGACACGAGCTTAGAATGGAGCCCTAATAGATGGGGTGGAGCGAGGTTTAGGGAGCACCCATTGGAAAGGAAGTGAATTGTGGGAGGGGGAGTCACAGCATTGATTTATCTAGAAATAGGGACAGTGTGAGTGTGGAAAGGGGGTCCTGCCATATGCACCCCAGTGAGTGTGGAGAACCGGGATTGAGAAAAGGGGCTGTGGGAGCCACAGGCCATGTGTGGTGTTAGGATGTCTCAGTGGTGGCTTTCCTTCTCTTCTCCTGAGTCCCCAAGTGTCCTGCCCTGTTCCCCTCTCCGGAGACCCGAGGGCCTCATGAGTCTGTGACTAAATATGGCCTTTCTCCTCATCTGGAAGTTCTTGGCCAAGGTGCTGGGCTCTGGAAGTGGGCACATTCTTCCCAGGTCTAGAGACCTGCCTGGCCCAGCTGCTGACAGGACAGACCAGTAAAACCCTAGACTATTACTCACCACTGGCCGCCAGCTCTCGCCGTCAGTGGCGTCTGCATTATTTTTGGCCGCCTCTGCCTCCCAGCTCTGAGCGCCAGTGAGTCAGGGCTGCCACCTGGAGCTGCTCTCAACAAGTCTTTTCTGTGAGCGCAGGGCAGACCTTTGCTAGACCGGAGCCAGCCTGGCAGGTGTGCAGGCCTGGCGGTGGGCAGGGGCTGGGGTCAGGCGCAGGCTGGCTCTGCCCAGTCCCTGAAGTCTGCAGGTGGGGTGGGAGTCCATTCAGGGTCCAAGTCAGGACATGGTGTGGCCCATTTCCCAGGCCTTCCCTCTGGGTTCCAGAGGCAGCTGGCTGCTGAGGTTCTGTCAAGGAAGGCAGGTGGGCGGCAGGGGCATCCAAAAGCCTGCCTTGGGCGGCAGCCAGGGAAGCCAAGCTCATGCCATGCCTCTTCCATCCTCAGGCCCTGTACCACGGCAAGTTCATCGATACAGGCTTCACCCTCCCTTTCTACAAGCGGATGCTCAACAAGAGACCCACCCTGAAAGACCTGGAATCCATCGACCCTGAGTTCTACAACTCCATTGTCTGGATCAAGTGAGTGCCCTCCATTGGTCCACAGCGGCAGGAGGCAGGTCTCTGGCTGGGGAGTGGGGACTATGGCTTTAATTGTGTCTGCCAAGGCAGCCTCTGACCTCCCATTCAGCCTTTATAAGAGTGGCGCAGCTTCTGGGTGCTCCACGGGACAGTTCTGGCCTCCTCCCCTCATCAGGAGATGGCCATGGCCCCGCTGAGGCTTCTGAGCCACCCGTGAGACCTTGGTGTCCCGTGGGCAATAGAGCAGGATGGAGGGAAGACCCTGCTGTGACGGACATCCTCCCTCTTGGCCTCTTGTGCCCCAGAGAGAACAACCTGGAAGAGTGTGGCCTGGAGCTGTACTTCATCCAGGACATGGAGATCCTGGGCAAGGTGACAACGCACGAGCTGAAGGAAGGCGGGGAGAGCATCCGGGTTACAGAGGAGAACAAGGAGGAGTACATCATGTGAGCCTCAAACAAGGAGCTCAGCCCTGGAGGCGGGGAGGGGGCCCAGAAAAATGGTCCCTGACGTCTGCCTCGGGTTGCCCCTTCAGTCAGGCCCCCACACGTGGCCCACAGGACACTGCAGATCCAATTACCTCTCGTTTGGGTCTTCCTCGAATGCAGCCACTGGTGGCCAGTCACGTGATGATGCTGGCTGGGATGCCAGAGGCGAGGTCCTCTGTTACTAACTTCTGGTGGCTCTTATTTCACCCTGGGGGAGACTTCAAGGCCGCAGGGCAGAGTTTCTCTGAAGGGCACCCAGCTTAGACATCTCACCTCTCTCCTGAGGGGCACGCTCTCATGGCCTGTGCTTAGTCTCCTGTCAGGTGCTGGTGTGCACGTCCCCCATGCCTGGTTTTCAGCCCTGGGTCCAGGCTTTTCATCTCCATACATCTACGCATCAGAGGCTCAGTCAGGGCAAGAGCAGGAGGAGGAGGTGGGGCGATTTCAAGACTCAGGTGTCACAGATCCCTGTGAGGGTTTCAAGGTTGTGCTCTGGGGCCTTCAGCAGACCGGGTCTAGCTGTGCCAGGAGTCAGCTCTCTGCTGGTTTGTTGCTGCCGCATAATAATGGCCACACAGGCAGGCTGTGAGCCATGCCTGAGCAGCGAGTGTTGGGCTCCACCCTTGGCTGGTCCTTGGTCTTAGGCTGCTGACCGACTGGCGTTTCACTCGAGGCGTGGAAGAGCAGACCAAAGCCTTCCTGGATGGCTTCAACGAGGTGGCCCCACTGGAGTGGCTGCGCTACTTTGATGAGAAAGAGCTGGAGGTGAGCATCCTGGGCCCCTGTTTTGGGGGTGTTCCTGCTCTTTGATATGCTTACTGTGTACGCACAGAAGGTCCCCAGCAGAGCCCCCACCCCAGCCAGGCATGGTGTCACACACCTGTGACCCCAGCTACTCGGGATGCTGAGACAGGAGGATCTCCTGAGCTCAGAAGTTCAAGGCTGTGGTGCACTATGATCACACCACTGCACCCCAGCCTGAGTCACAGAGCGAGACGAGACCCTATCTCTAAAGAAAAAAATCAGATAAACAAAACCCTCTACTTCAGCAGGACAGATAGATTTGATTTAGGTCTTCAGCACCCACCCCTCCCCAGACACTTGTTTTAAGAAAGCAGGGATGTGCACTACTGCTATTTTTATTATTATTTTGAGTTGGGGGTCTCACTCTGCCACTCAGGCTGAAGTTCAGTGACATAATCAGGGCTCACCACAGCCTCAAATTCCTGGGTTCAAGTGATCCTCCTGCATCAGCCTCTGGAGTAGCTGGAACTATAAGCATGTGCTACCGTGCCCAGTTAATTTAAATGTTTTTGTTTTATTTTTTGTAGAGAAGCGGTCTCACTGTGTTGCCTGGGCTGGTCTTGAACTCCTGGGCTCAAGCAATCCTCCACCTTAGACTTTCTTTTTTTTTTTGAGTTGAGAGTCTCACTCTGTCGCCCAAAGTGGAGTGCAGCGGCCGCTCCCGGCCACCATAACCTTGACCTGCTGGGCTCTGGAGGTCCTTCCACCTCAGCCTTCCAAGTAGCTGGAACTACAGGCGCGTGCTACCACACCCGGCTAATTTTTTGATTTATTGTAGAGATGAGGTC